TAACATGTTTAAATATATACCAAACAATAATTGTCCAAGGATAATAGCTGTACTATGTATTAAAAGCTGACGACTTTATATTGGCTTCTGTCGAACCATCATGTGGTATACTTTTTTCTGCACATTTAAATCTCGTGCGTCACACATTACAATTACTGATAAATCATAATTGAGCAATTAATGTAAATAAAATGTTCTTATCTACATTTTTAAATTCTTCTTGGGGCGATCCTCGTAAATACAAATATGCTGTTAGATATCAAAGAGTCATTGTTAAGCACCTCGATTATGTAAATAACACGTTACGAACAATAAAATGGGTAATAATGTCCCTAGTTAAAGTATCTTGTCAGCAAGTACGGCGTTCGTTACATAAGAGTTAGCAATATAGATGGTAAATAATAATAAAGTTATAATAGTAATAAAGTTAGTTAATAATAAAGTTCGTTACAGTAAATACGAATACAGACACACAATACGTTAATTCATTTGAAACACGCTATAGATTATTAAAAAGACACACACTTATATTTGAAAGTCATGCAGCCATTGGTATACCATAATAAATTGTTTACAGTAATCGCAATCAATAAATAACTTACTGCTTCTATCAGAAGAACAGCCGGCAATACACACTTGAAAACTCCTAGCAACACAGTCAAAGCCACAAATGTAACTTGACATTTTACAGGAAACACAAGGTGCTCCAAAAAAATGTTTCATTTGAATAACGTCTATGTCTTATCAATCTATATCAAGATTATCTTAGTTATGTTAAGGTTATGTCCAGATTATACACCACACAAATGAATAGTGAGAAAAGAGGCAATAACAGCACAGAAGCAGAGTAATTGCTTACACAATCCATTCTTCGATAATTCTGTACGAAAATGCGTAAAATTTGCTCGCATGTCTTCAAACAATATTTTGCAAATCAACTCTGCAATCAGGAACAAACAAATTAGTTAAATGGTTTCCAGGACTGATTAAATGATATTACACATACTGCTGACAAAGAACGTTCTATCTATAAATAATTGTTTTGCGATTTACTATTTTAGGAACAGGAAGCGATGACAAAAACGATTTGAAGGTCACAAAAAAGGGAGACATGGACAGCATATATATCAATGCCATGGTCACTGGAAATGGCCAGTAACTATGTATTTTCTATCTATTTCCTAAAACGGAAAGTAATTTGTATCGATCAACAACATCTTTATTCCAGAATAAATCTTTCCAAATATGTTTCTAAATGTCGCGTGTACTTCAGACTATGAGCAATTAATCTCCTCAACATGTACTATTCGTTGATCTGCACCCTAATATGTCGTCCTCTTCCACCAATACCATACGTAGGGCAGTAAACAACGAAACTGCGTGTGATATGTACTGAAGTAGAACAATTAATATTCAGATATTACAATGAGAAAGAACGTCGATAGATTATTGAGCAGCATGATATGAAATGTCAAATTTTGAAATTATTTGAATATTGTTATTGCAACAGCTCAAAAAGGGAAATGCGTTGCAATTTAACTTCTATT